ATTATCCATTGGGCCGCTCGACAGAACCAATCGGCGATTATCCACTATTTCTACGATAGCGTCGCGAATGTCAACCAAACAAATAAAGTTTGTTTGCTTTATATTTTACAAACAATTTCTGTTTTTCCATTGACGTTATCTAATTTATTAAATAATTTAATACGTGTACAGAATCTGGAGACACCCCTACACGTGGCCGCCCGTTACGGGCACGTGGAGGCCGTCGAGCAGTTGTGCAAATGCGGGGCTAATGTGGACGCCGTCGATGAGGTTATTATCAGTTTTTTAAGAAACATAATTGAATTTATATATTATTTGTTGTATTAATAATTTAATGGCATTGATAGCACGGGGAGACAGCTATGTTAATCGCCGTTTGGCACGGCTTTCCTAAAATAGTGCATATTTTGGGCGAAGTGGGCGCTCACACAGACATCAACAATAAGGTATGATTTGCTAAATTAGAAAAGCCTACAGATTGGTGCAGTTTAGACACAACCATTTGACTTAGTTTTCACTAACAATTAGTTTTCAATTTTCAAGAATATATTTGACATAAATTGTATTGTTGTTGAAATTGTTTAAGTGTTTAACTTCTCACATAACTCTTTAATGCTGTCTGTAATGAGAGAATTTGAAATAATTTTCTAGTAATAAATAATTCTTGATTTTCTAAACTAATTCATGAATTATTCATTACTGGCTCAGAGATGTTGACAGTATGTTGGCACCAATTGTTAGGTTTTATAATTAATGTATAAAATGAGTCACTAATCGGCGATTGTGTGGCACATATAGGAGGGCGAGACGGCTCTTCACGTGGCGTCGGCGAGGGGTCACTCGGAGTGCGTCCGCTGTCTCTTAGAGGCCGGCGCTCGCACTGACGTCAGGAATAAGGTATCGATTCTGGAGTTTATTTATTATTGCAATTCAATTGTCTGTCAATCCATGTGTGGATTAATAATGAAAATTATTTACTATTAATTGCAGAACACTTACACTCCTTTACACTTATCATTGAAACGACAACACGTGGCGG